ACTGCCTTTCACTCAGGAGCATACTCTGCTTGACTTCACTTCCGCTTTCTCGTGCTCAGCGATTCACAGCCCTTCTCTTTCTCTCGCTCCCACCCTCCTCAGGCTCCTCTTCCCTCAGCTTCCACTGAATTTCAGAATCAACCTCTCTCTCCTTTTTCTATTTTCTCTTGTCTTTCCCATCACCCTTCTGACTCCACAAATCTCTCTTCCCCTCCCTTTCCTTACACTTTGTCTCCCTCCACCGGCTGGTCGCACCACGTTCTCATTGCAGGGTTTTCCACTCGTTTGGCGATCGCCTCGAAAATCACACTAGTGTGTCGTAAAGTCCTTTCCTTTCTCTGGGTACAGGAACATGCACCCCTTACTTTCCCTCCCTGGTGATGATTGCAGGATGCTGCCCCCAGGGACCGGAAAAAAAAATCATTCCCAGGCCTTTTCCTGGGAAAGGACACTTTCCTTGGTGATTCGTTTTACACACACTTTTGTGCGACCTATGCCTTTTCTCTTCCTGCCACCCCCTTCCTCGTATCCTGCGCTTTGCTGCCTGGACTCTTGGCTGCCATCCCTGCCTCCACTCCCCGTGGAGAGAAGATCCTCAGTGTCTCCTCCTACTTGCTTGCTCAGTCCCTTCTCTATCTCCTCTGCACTCTGTACATAATCTGTCACTATGGGAACCACTCAGTCCAAGTCTGAGGGCCTAACGCCTCTTGCTTATCTTCTTAAATCCTTAAAACAACTAGGACCTCCAGATACAATCAGGCCAAAGTGCTTAAAGTTCCTGTGCACCACTGCCTGGCCCCAGCACAAGTTAGATAATGATTGTTTGGCCAGACACCAGAACCTTAAGACTCCAAAATTTTGAGAGATTTAGATAATTTCTGCCAATGTTATGGCAAAAGGTCCAAGCTCCCTTATGTCCAAGCCTTTTTTTGATCTCCGTGCTAATCCCTTCCTCTGTCTCGTGTTCTTCCCATCAAGTTCTCCTCGCCAAGACAGTTTCAGGGAACCCCAACCTGCCAGTTCCTACCCCCTTGGGGGCCTCTGCTCCCTCTCCCTACTTCTCTACCCCAGCTTTTGATCAACCTCAATGCCTCCCAGCCCCTAGTATCTTGTATTTCTTCACTTTTTCTTTAAAGCTTCCTTCTCCCAGCTATGTAGCTGCAAGTCAGCCACGTGTCTGACCTCCCACGCAGGCTCTAAACCTGCATGGCTCCATGGCTTTCTTTCCTTCCCACTATTCACCTCAAGGCAGCTGCCAAGATCACCAGCCTCCCCTACGTGGGCCATGTTCAGCAGCAAGACAACTACGGTGCCCCCATCCTATAACACGAAAGGCTGGAATGTTAGGGTTCCAATCTGCAGCAACCCCCTCTCCAGTGCAACAGAACCTCATGGTTTTACAAGCCCTCTGAAAATACAGGAACTGAGTTAATGAGCACCCTGACCATCTGCAGATAAGATAAACAGACTCTCTACACCTTCGACCTGAGACCCGATTACTACAAGAGCTGTTTCAGTACAGCTTGCTTCCCTTTTGATAATATTAGAAGATAAACAGACCCCTTATCCCATGACCCAGATCCTGGCTGACAGAAGGGGATGGAAGGGGGCAGTTTGACAGAGGCTATTCTCTCCTTATAAGCCCTGGGCTCTCTCTTTCCCCTGCCTAACTTTTTAAAAAAATATTTTCCCACCTTCCACATCCCCCCAAACCCCCTATAAAAACCCCCAGCCATCAAGCCTGTAAACCGTCAGGTCCTCTATCCCGAATGGGGAGCTGTCCCGTACATTTTCCCTGCCAATAAACTCTATCCTGCTGGAGTTCTTGTCTGTGTCCTGGTGCTTTCTTGACTCAATTTACCTATCAATGTGAAGACTAGAGTTCAACATCAGGTATCTTCTTCAATCTCTTTTCATCTTAGTTTTTGAGACAAGAGTCTTTCACTGAACCTGAAGCTCAGCAATTCAGCTGGACTAGCTGGCCAGCAAGCTCCAGGGAACCTCCTGCCTCTGCCTCTGCCTCTTCAGAGCTGGCATTATATGAAAAATACTGTAGTGTCAGCTTTTTATGTGGGTGCTGGGGATCTGAACTCAGGTCCTTTCGATTGTATGGCAAAGCACTTTACTGAGTCATTTCTCCAGGCCAAAAAATCCACTTTAAAAATTTATGAGCCTCAAGGTGTTTCTGTACTCTGAAATTATTACAAGAATACAAAAACTATAGTAAGACAAGGTATGCGACATGTACTTTCCATAAAGGTCTCATTTGACTTTAAAAGAAACATAAGGCAAACACATTTTATAATCACTTGTTCATAGTTGATGAAATATCACCTTAGAAAAAGTGGGCTGGAGAGATGGCTCAGCCGTTAAGAGCACTAGCTGCTCTTGCAGAGGACCCGGGTTCAGTTCCCAGCACCACATGGTGGCTAACAATTATCTGTAACTCCAGTTCCAGGGGATCTGACGCCCTCTTCTGACCTCTGTAGGCATTACACATGACAAATATACACATTCTGGCAATACACTCATACATAACACATAAAAAATTAAAAAAAATTTTTTTTGGTCTTTTTGAGACAGGATCTCCCTGTAGCCCCAGCTGGCCTGGAACTCACTATGTAGACCAGGCTGGCCTTGAACTCACAGAGACACGCCTGCCTCTGCTTCCTGAGTGCTGGGATTAAGGACGTGTGCCACCATGCCTGGCTATAAAAAATAAATTATTTTTAAAAAAGAAAAAAGTTAAGTGATTTGCTCAAAGTAATCATATTTAAGTCCTGACTCCAAATCCCTTGTTTACCTAGAAAACTTTTCCTTACTAAACTGATAAAAGTGTAACAGAAGATGAAAAATTGAACTATCAATAAGAAAACGAAAAGAAAACCTGGCATGGTGGCATAAATCTGTAATCCCAACACTTGGGAGCCTGGGCCAGGCCAATGAAGAATTCAAGGCCAGCCTCTGCTACATAGTAAATGAGTGCAGCCTGGGCTATGAGACCCTGTCTTGAAAAATAAATGACTGAAAAACAAATAAACAAAGCTCATTATGAATCCACAGCAAAGTCTTTTCAAGCTGTGTTAGTTTGTCTGGACCTGTTCATATTTAGGGACAAAAAAAATGTTAAAGAGCTGCTGAAAGATAGGCTGTTGCAAGAAAGATGAGGCAGCAAGACACTGCGAAGGTTCAGAAGCAGGTTTTATTTTGGCTGCAGTCTGGCACAGGACTGAAGTCTCAAAGGTTAGACCCTAAAATGCTTACATTTAATAGATTTGGTAGTAATAAACAGGTGAGTGAATTCCATATTGGCTGGCTAACACCAAAAAGTTATAAAAAGCAAGCTGTTTGTCTAGTTCTTGAGGACAATAAAAAAATCAAACCTGTAAAAAGTTCTTGTCAGAGACAAACAGAATGAAGGAAGTTTCTTCAGGACACAAGGAAAGTGGTTGGGGCTAGTTGTGCCAGCGTTCTAATAACAAACTTATCAGCTGAATTTGGCCGACAGAGGAAAGAGGTATCTGTGTTTTCCTTGATTTTTCCCATTTATCCCATCAGGCTCTACAGTAAAGCCAAGCCTATAATCCCTGCCACTCCGAAGGCTAGCCTGAGGAGGTCAGTGAGACTGTCTCAAAAGGGACGATCTCTCTGGTGGAGGGCTTGCCTGGCACAGAGGCAAGACAGAGGTTGAATCTCTAGGGCCAAAAAGAGGAAAAAAAAGCAGCCTGACCAGAAGCCTTGGGGACTTTGTCCCTGTCATTCGCAATCACCCAGTGGGGGCTCCCAAAACCCTCCAGAAGGAAAACATGGCAGGAGGTTTGTCTCCAGTTCTCTCCTTCCCTATCTCGGCAGGACAGCCCCGAGAGTGGCCCTGTTTCCTCAATTCCTCCAAGAGAAGCCAGGTGATGAACCCATTTCCAAAACACCTTTCTAAAGGATGACTTTCATTTCAAGAGGAGCAGCTTTCGTCACCCATCCTCATCATTCTTAGGGGAAAGCCGCCGCTAAGGCAACCAGCTCGTCTCCCAGGGACAAAGCGGGGGGGGCTCGGGTCCCGCGGCCAGGTAACCCGTCCGAGGCCGTCAGAGGAACCAGGGCACGGTCCTAGGACGCCACCCCCAGCCCTGTCCCCAGATCCTACGCGACACGACAGGATGCGACTGCTCCAGACAGCGCAGAGCTACCACCTGACAGCGACACAGGGGCACCTGGCCACGCTAGCCTGGTCTCCCCCACCCCGGAGGTCCGGTTCAAGGCGCCAATGGGACAGCCTTGGGGACCTGCGTGAGTCGAGCGACCGGATGACAGAAGGCACCTCAGACGGAGAGAAGAGATGCGATCCTGAAGAAGCCTCCCATCTCCCCTTCCCCGCCTCCTGTCCTGCCATAGCGAGGACTGCCTCCCCCGGCGCACCGACACCCTCCCCTCAGCCCACAGACACCCAGGGCCGCCCGTCCGGCCTCAGCGAGGACCACCTCCCCCAGCGCACCGACACCCTCTCCTTAGCCCACGGACACCCCTGGCTGCCGTCACGCCACAGCGAGGACCGCCACAGCGAGGACCGCCTCCCCTGGCCCACCGACACACACTCCCCTCAGCCCAGGGACTACCCCGGCCGACCGTCTGGCAGCAGCGAGGACCGCCCCAACCCCCGGCCCGCGGATACCCTCCCTTCAGCCTAGGGACACCCCCGGCCGCCCGTCCCACCAGAGCGAGGACCGCCTCCCCTGGCGCACCCACACCTTCCCCTCAGCCCACGGACACCCCGGGCCGCCGTCCCGCCACAGCGAGGACCGCCTCCCCGAGCCCGCGGACACTCTCCCTCAGCCCCCGGACCGCCGACACGTTCCCTCAGCCCCCGGCCCACGGACACCCTGGCCTTTCGGCCGGCCGCAGTTAGGACCGCCTCTCCCTGGCAACCGTCACACCCTCCCCTCAGCCCGGGGACTCCTCGCTCCGCCCCCTCCCAAGGACAGCTTACCACGCCGGGAAGCCCTCACCTCAGCTGTCGCCATTAGAGTCTCCTCCGCCACTCAAAACGCTACCGTTACCGTCGCCTCAGGTGCCCAAACCGCCTCCGTCAACGACCCTTCCAAGACTGGCCCCTCACGCGGCCGCCGCCACCTCCTACGCCAGCAAACACCCAGCAACCCCCGCGGGGCCACGGGCCCGAGAACCACTTCCTTCCGGAGCTGTCTGGCCCCGCCCACGGGGTTCGCCGCTTGCCGAACACAGTGCTCCGGCGCAGCCGCGGGGGAGGGGAGAATGAGGCGATGCCCCGCCCAGACTGCTCCAGTCAGCGCGCCTGCGCCCTCTGTCGGTTGCGCTCACCTCGGTTCCCTGAGCCCTTAAAGCAGTTGCATCCACCCTCTGACTAGAAAGAACGGGATGACCAGCACTGAACCATAAAAGTCCACGACTCTTTAGGGTTGAAGATCAGGGTTTTAGAGGTCAGCTTTCAACTTGGTCCCCTGGGTTTCCAGCCTTGTGTGCAGATGGAGGTTCCAAGAGGCCAAGGTGGTGGCCAAGCACTTGGATGCTGGCCTTCCAGCTCTTCAGTTGGCCCTAAAAGCCCTTCCAGAACCAACTCACCTGAACCTGCCCTGCTGTAACCTCTGTCCCCGCCTGCTCAATCTCTAACAAGTCCTGTAACCTTTAACCATTTCTCAAAACCTCAAATGAAACTTCGACCTAGAAAACAAAAGCTCTGAACTTCCCAAATAGGTTAATGGTACAAATAAATACCAGTTCCTCTCTGTGTACTCTCTTCTATCCTCTTCCTTCTCTTCTCTCTTTTTCCTTTCCTCTTTATTCTCTCTTCTTCCTGCTCTTCTTTTGTGTCTGTGTATTTGTGTATGTCCGTGTGTGTTCTTCAGTGTGCCCATGGAGGCCAGAGGACATCAGGTGTCATTCCTCAGGCACTGTCCACTTTGTGCATGTGTGCGTGTGTGTGCATGTGTGTGTGCGTGTGTGTCAGGATCTCTCACTGGCCTAAAACTCACCAAGAATATACTAAGCTGGCAGGCCGGCAAGCCCCAGGGATCTGCCTGTCTCTGCCTCCCCAATATGGAGGTAAAAAGATGTGCCATCATATCTGGCTATTTTTTTTTTTTTTTTGGTCTTTGTGAGACAGGGTCTCCCTGACTCCCAAGTGCTGGGATTAAAGGCATGCGCCACCACCCTGGCCTATATCTGGCTCTTTTTATATGAGTTCTGGGGCCCTAACTCAGGTCCTAGTACTTCAAAGCAATAATGACTGTGCTGATTGAGCTATCTCTCCTCTTTTTAGAAAATAATGGGGAGTATGCCCTCTCTTTTTAGAAAATATTATTTTATGTATTTGAGTTTTATGCCTACATGTGTGTAAATACACCCGTGTCATACAGTGCCCACAGAGGACAGAAGACGTCGGATCCCCTGAAGTTACAGACAGTTGTTAGCCACGATGTTGGTGCTGGGATTTGAACCCAGATCTTCTGCAAGAACAGTCGGTCCTCTTAAGTGCTGAACCATCTCTCCAGTCCCCATTTTTAATTTTTAATGTGTATAAGTGTATAAGCTACATGTGTATAAGTGCTCCCAAGTAGTGCAATGCCCACGGAGGTCAGAAGAGGGTGTCAGATTCCCCTGGAACCGGACTTAACAGTTGTTAGCTATCCTGTGGGTTCTGGGAATTGAACCTAAGTCCTCTGCAAGAGCAGCCAGTGACTACACTGAGCCATCTCTCCAGTCCCCTTCCTGTCTCTTGAAACTTCCCCATCTGACAGCTTCAATACACATTTCTCCCCTGAAAAATATCTTTCCTGGGATCTACACCTCCTTCTGGTAGCATCACATGTTAATCTCTCCTTTTTTATTTTTCCTCTCACTGCTTGTCATTACTTTTTTCTCTACCCCTCATTTACCACCATCATCCCAATGATACCAAACATGCATGACTGAGACATGTTTCCTTAGCTTCTTTAACCCAAATAACCTTTTCTAAATTTTTTAATTTTATTTATTATTTTTATTTTATGTGTATGAGTGTATTGCCTGCATGTATGTGAGTGCACTTGTGTCATGCAATGCTGCGAAGGTCAGAAGAGGGCTTCAGATTCCCCCGGATGGAACTGGAGTCAAGTATGGTTCATAGCCGTCATGTGGGTGCTGGAAATCAAACCTAGGTCCTCTGCAAGAGCAGTCAATGCTCTTAACCGCTGAGCCCTCTCTCCAGACCAACCCAAATAACCTTTAATTTCTGTGTGTGTGTCTGTGCGTGCCTGTGTGTGTGTGTGTGTGTGTGTGTGTGTGTGTGTGTGTGCGTGCATGCAACTGGAAGCAAGGGGCCAACTTCAGATGCTGTTTCTCAGGAGCTGTTTCTCACCAATGAGTCTAGGCTGGTTTGCCAGCAAGCCCCAGGGATTCTCCTTCCATCGCCAGGATGACAAGCTTGAGCCACCAGGCCCAGCTTTTTTTTACTTAGGTTTTAGTGATCAAACTCAAATCCTCATGCTTGCAATACAAGAAGCACTTTTCCAACTGAACCTCCACCCCAGCTCCCAAATGACCTTTACTTCTGCTGTGTCCACCCATTCCCAGAGTGACACACTCTAGAATATCTATCAGGTATGTCCAACCTGTAGCCCATAGACTGTATTGTACCCCGGGATAGCTTTCAATGCAACCCAACATAAAATCATAAATGTTTTTAAAAGGTATTTTGCAATCTTTTTTTGTCACTCAATTATGCCATTCTCAAGAATGACCTTTTTATGTGACAATGTCATGTCACAATGACAAAAGGTTGAGACATTCTTGAGTGCTCCATCTCTAAAATCTTGCATTTTCCAATCCCTTTTATTTGGACCCACAATCCTCCCTCTTGCTGTACAGCCTCTCCCTTAGTCCCAATGCACACAGTCTTCACACACCAGAGAGCTCTCACTTCCCATGAACCCTCTATTTAACTTAAACCCATGTGTTGTAGAGCAGTTTCTTCTGACTCAAAACACTCCCTCCAGGAAGAAGGAAGAAGTTCATGAGACTCAAGAGATTAAAAAAGAAAAATATTTCACATGTCTGGAAAAAATGAAACTTACAAGATTCACCCCGCCATGGGTTATAGAAGCAGTGAACAACTGTTGGAAGAGACTCTGACCAGCAGAACTGCCTGGAGGAGACCTTTCCCAGGGTGATAAAACACATGGTCTACTCACCCCAGAAAGGAAACCCATGACAGACCCCCAAAGTAAGTACTGCACCAAAGTTCAACATGGTGAACCAATGAGTTTTTATTGGGGTTACTAACAGGAGTATATATGAAGAGTTCCTTACAGGACCAACCATAACTCAAAAGCAGCTGTAGCTTCAAAAAGCACCATATCCCAACATGGGTGACAGCTCATGAAAGCTACGTCCCTGGCACTCTCCCCACTACTTGAAGGCCTGTGGAAAGTCCCAGAAATCTCCTCCAGGCAGTTGAACTTCCACCAGGCAGCTCTGCTGATCAGTCTCCACTAGCAGTTGTTGGAGAGGGGGCCAGACCTGTGAAGTTTATCACCTGAGTCTCATGAGCCCCCTCCCTCCTCCTGGAGAGAGTATTTCAAGTCAGAGGAAACTGCCAGAGAATAGGCATACATCCATACATACACACATATTTATATTGTTTCTTTTCTTCTAGAGAATTATGACTAATTCATGTTTAAACTAGAAAAAAGTCTAAAGAGCAATTCAGGCTTTGATACAGGCTTACACAAAGTAACCACAGTGGGTGTCACTTGGTGGTGAGAGACAGATTCTGAGGAAACTTAATTGGTGGGCCTGACATAAATTGCAGCTGCTCTTCTGGTGGCCTCTTTCTTAAACACTGATGAGAGAAAAGGAAAATGATGAAGAAGTAGGGCAGATGCTTCCTCGTCTCTTGTAAACAATGCTGGCCTAGATCTCCCCTACAGTTTTTGTATGGATTCAAGTTTGTATTGTGTTGGTCGTGATTTTGGTATTTATGTAGTGTTTATACCACAGAACTGACAGAGCTACCTGTGTTTTCTTTTAACAGTTAATGAAATTTGATGGATAATGCTTAGTTGGCCCAGTTTCCTCCTCCTTTTCTTCTGTCCCATGATACAGACTGTTTTATGGACACTGTCCTTTCCTCTATTGTTAGGGTTTTTGTTTTGTTTTGTTTTGTTCTGAGACAGAATTTCATGCAGCCCAGGCTGACCTTTAACTCCTCCTGATCCTCCTGCTTCCCATCTCCCAAATGTTAGGATTATAGGTATGTATCACCAAATGGGGCTTATCTTTTCTTTACCTTTGCTTTCTTTGGTGTGTGTATGTGTGTGTGTGTGTGTGTGTGTGTGTCTGGGGGTGAGGACATGTGTATATATTTATGTGGAGGCCAAAGGACAACCTTGGGTGCCTTTCCTAGGGTGCCTTTCTTTTTTTTCTTTGTTTCAGGGCCTCTCAGTGTAGTGTGTGTGTATGTATACACATGTGAGTGCAGGTGCACATGTGGGTACAGGTCCCTTCCTAGTTGCTAGGGAGATGGGTAGATGTCCTTCTTCCATAGATCCAGAATAGTCCATTTGGAACTTTTCAGTTAGTGTGGGCTGGATTACTCCAGAATTTATGGATCTTTGGAATGCCTCGAAAGGGGCTAACATGAGTAGTGCCAGAGCTAGTACAGTTAAACAGAGGTTGTGTCTTCTAAGACTTTGTACATCTAAGACCATGTTCCCTTTCATTTGGGAGCCTCAAACCAAGTAGAGTCTATCTGGCCTCCAGATGACATTCTAGAACAATATTCTTTCACATGGGGTCTCTGTAACTCTCTGTGGCTCTAGGTCCTAGCCAACTAATATATTATTTCCCAAGTACCTCTGATGTGAGAACTCCGTTTTGGAGGTCTCTCACCTTCTTGTTCAGTGAGATTTTGGCCCCGTTGCAATACAGAATAAGCATCTAGGCTCATACTTATACAGAGCCATTCTTCTCTCATGAGGGTACCCTCCACATACGCAACAATTGTTAATTCCAAGGCTTTGGGCAATTCTCTCTGCTGTCTTTAAAGACATGTTTACCTAAACAGGGAGGTTTAAGATTCCAAGTTAAATCCTTACATAATATAGTAGCTGGGTCAGGGCTGGTGGTGATGGCACCTGTGGTGCTTGGCCTTGGGTCCATATCCCATAA